GAATCCTCAACAAGTATAGTAGCCGGAAATTGTCAAAATGTAAAGAAAAGGATTTCAACCGAAAAAAAGCCAAATTTTTCAGTTCCCTACTGAAAATATGCACACCGAATCAGGCCAAAGTGTCCACAACAAGGAAAATAATACGGGTGTCGAAACAAGCCAAGAAACTTCGACGAGAAAATATCCCATCATAGACAGTACCAACAAAGAAGATAAGGTAGCGGTCGGGGAATCGCTCTTTTGCTGGTCGTCCCTATCAAAATACAGTAATAACTTTCCTAGAGAAAACTAAAAGCTACGGCCATCTTGTTACAAAAGATGGGCTCTTGACAAATCTTGAGGAACTACAGAAAGTTGAAAAAAAGAATTGTGTCTGCACGCAGAAAATTTGTTGCTTCACAAAAGACACCGTCATAAAATCGTTGACGTCCCTTAGGATTAAACCACAGACAGTCATAAAAGGTAAAGAATACTTCATTTGGGACATACTGTTGCCCACACCACCTTCCGACTCTGAAGCTGTCAGCACCCGTGACCTTATAACAAAAGATCTTATTTTGAGGACGGAATATCAAGGCAGGCGTAGTACCAACGTTTCAGTATATGAGGTCCCACCTCAGATTGTCGAGGAACACTTGGCCACCTATATCTGCCAATTTGGCCAGATACTCAGTGCTTCCTCTAACGATCTGATCGGAAGATGGAGCTTTGAATTAATGGTAGATCGTAAGGCCTTCGTCTTCATCTCCAACTGCCTGGATGTAGAAGGCCAGAAGATGCCGATTATAGTTACAGGTCGAAGACCGGCTAGCTGGAAGTGTGGGCAGACTGGTCACCTATCCTCTTCCTGCCCAGCAATGAAGGCCTCTGGAGTCCTGGTCCCCGCCCCCCAAATTTCGCTCGGGCTGAGTCTGTTATTTCCAACATCCGGGACCGGTGTGGTAAAACCACCGATTCGGTCTGTCTCACTTAAACGGAATCATCATGAAAAAAATATGACCCTAACTCCTCGGTACCGTCTTCCCCGTCAGCTAAACAACACATCATGGCCCCTCCTCCAGTCCTAAGATTTTAATCTCCCTCTCCCTCTAAAATGACAACCTTAAAAAAAACATCACTGTTTCACCTGCCAAAGACCATCTTTCCCCTTCCACTATTTCTATTAGCCCCAAACTATCCCCTGTCAAAACTCCCATAGCTACATCGAAAAAGACTGACAATGCCAAAAGATAAAGAAGTCCATCACCGGAAAGCATAGATGCTCCATCTCATAAAATTCTAAATCCATCTTTAACACAACGGAAGACGTGTGCCGGGTATCCAAACAACTGGCGAACAAGGCCCTACAATATTAAAAAAAAAATGAGGAGCATTAAATCCCTGGTAAATTTCAGGAAAATTAACAACCTAGATGTCGAAGACCCATGGAATTTCCTAATGCAAAAAGGGTCTTAACTGTCGTTAGAGGGGGCGAGGCGGTCAACAAATTTGGGCCATGGTGGCGGACGCTAACAAAATCTTCGGAATGTTTCCACCCATGGCCTGTTTCGATAATGATACGGTGAAAAATTGCAACAATTTTGTCCAGAGAGGTTCCCGCTTTTGTTCACCACTCCCTGAATAGAGCCTTAAAGCTAACCTTTCCGCTGGACATTGGCGGTCTGTCTCCCCACAGCACCATCAAACTGAGATGGGAACAGGTTCGATGGGAGAGGCCGTCGGTGTCCTTTCTCCATCCATGTTTAATGCAAGAAAGCAACCCTAAGCGGTTTCATTCTGGCTCTCTGGTTAGCTAGTGTGAATGTCCGAGGCCTGAGGTCGGAGTCTTGCAGAGCGAGGCTCTCTCGTGACTTTCAGCGTCTCGGAGTGAATTGTTGTTTATTACTAGAGACTCGTTTTTTCTACTGATGACTTTGAGGACATTCTGTCTAGAGGGTTCTCCCTCTGTTCAGCATGTCTTTGAAGGCTGCTTGTCTTCCAAGATCCGGCGGGTAGCCTTTGCGTGCTGGATATTACCATAAAGGATAAGGCTCTTCTTCTCATTGGGGTTTATGCGCCCAATGTCCATTCTGAGCGACCTGCTTTGCTTCGGCAGATCGTGCCGTTTCTGACGACATTTCGTCGGGTAGTTTTATCGGGGGATTGGAATGCCGTCTTTGACACCGACATAGATCGTATAGGGTCAAATTCGGGTACTTACAACCGAGACGCGAAATCATTTCGGGACTTTATCGACAGGTTTGATCTTGTCGATAAGTACCAGAATGAGTACCCACTGGATGTAGTTTGGACTTGGACAAATAGTGGCGGCTCGAATGCTGGGATGGTTTCTAGCTACCTCGACCGAGTCTTAGTTAGGAGAGTCGATGTAAGGCTCTAGGGGTGTCCAAGTTTTCTTTATATAGTTTATTCGGATCATAGGCTTGTCCGGGTCCGTGTAATCTTAGATAAACCTAAGGTTAGGTTGGCTGGCTACTGGAAATTAAACTGCTTTCCCAAGATATTTTCGCGGAAATGAATATAACGAACCCGACTGGAATTGGAACTCGGCTCTCCGATTTCCAATTCCGAGCTGTTATCCATTACAACGCCCGCACATCAAAGCTTAGAGCACCTGGTATTCCCAAACAGTCATCCATCTAAATACTGTCCTGCCTCCGCGTTGCTTAACTTCAGTAGACGTATGAGAAATGGTGTGATATGACCGTAAGCGAAAGGATTATAGAAACTGCAATAAAAATAATAATTACAAAAAGAAACCATTGGAACTTCAAGGTTACCTCATGAGGAAAGTAGGTGTGGTTAATACAATAGCCCCCGGGGCTATTAAGGTACGAGAGGGAAAAGCTAGTAACCTGCTTAATTAGTTTAGATGAAAGGAAAGAACAAAGAGAAATCGACAAATTAAATGTGAATTTGCTGTGTCATTTTACTTTGCCGATTTGCTGTATCAGTTAAGGATAACACTGTCCTGGAAAAGAAGTATATTTTTGTTCGAATTTAGGATTATTATTGTTTAGGAATATCTCGTCTATTGACCTCAACTTTGTTGTTGTTATCACAACGTTTCGGTAATTGTGCTCTTTGGTTTTCATCAGGTGTATATCGATCTGTGTAACCTACAGGGAAGGAATTCCGAACAGAAACCTCAATTAATTTACGATGTTAGACTGTTCTCGTTCCACTGCCAGGGTCTAAGGATATCTTGACTATTGACCTAATCTTTGTTGTTGTGATCACAGCGTTTCGGCTGTTGTGCCTTCGATCTTCATCAGGTGTATACTGATTTGTGTAACCTTCAGGGAAGGAATTCCAAATAGAAACCTTTATGTAATCTAAGGTATTAGATTATTCTCGTTCCATTACCCGTGTCTAGAGATATCTCGTCTGTTGACCTCAACTTTCTTGTTATTATCACAACGTTTCGGCTGCTGTGCCCTTTGGTTTTCATCAGGAGTATATCGATCTGCGTAACATGCAGGGAAGGAATTCCAAACAGAAACCTTTATTTAAACTACTGTGTTAGACTGTTCTCGTTCCACTGCCAGGGTCTAAGGATATCTCGACTATTGACCTAATCTTTGTTGTTATCACAACGTTTCGGCTGTTGTGCTTTCGATCTTCATCAGCGGTATATTGATTTGTGTAACCTTCAGGGAAGGAATTCCAAGTAAAATCCTTTATGTAATCTACGGGATTAGACTGTTCTCGCTCCATTACCAATGTCTAGAGATATTTCTAGTTCTTATTTTTAGTACTGTACAGTTACTGGGCGCCTCGTTTCCACTAAGTCCATGTACGCACTGCCTGGCTCAGGGTTTGAACTCACAATTCCTATGTCAGCAAATACACTAATCAAAGATTTAAATGACTACACTATTGACCCGTGGGTCTTCGTCAGTTGAATATTAGTATGTGAAACTTCGTCAGTTAAATATTAGCGAGTTGAGATATGTGTTTTGGGGACTTTCCCCGATCGTTAATTCTACTTCTAGCTAGTGTGCAAGAAACTCTGCCCAGTCCTTATCTGGGATGAGTGTTTTATATATCCCGGTGTTAAACGATTATTTTCGTCTCTTGTAAACTATCTTACAGCAGGGAGATTACGCGCTTCCACATTCGGGGGCTGGGAGATCAATTCATGTCAACCCTGTTTCTCGCTCCTTTGATTGTCTGGTATGATACTAATTTCAAATTATAATCTAGTATGATCCGTTGTAAAACACACATTACAAAAGAGTCAAATGTAACTTGGAGCAACAAAAGATAGGTCCTGATAAGATGTAACTTGGAGCAACAAAAGATAGGTCCTGATAAGATGTATCTTGGAGCAACAAAAGATAGGTCCTGATAAATGTATCTTGGAGCAACAAAAGATAGGTCCTTGATGTATCTTGGAGCAACAAAAGATAGGTCCTGATAAGATGTATCTTGGAGCAACAAAAGATAGGTCCTGATAAGATGTATCTTGGAGCAACAAAAGATAGGTCCTGATAAGATGTATCTTGGAGCAACAAAAGATAGGTCCTGATAAGATGTATCTTGGAGCAAAAAAAAGATAGGTCCTGATAAGATGTATTTTAGGTCCTGATAACAAAAGATAGGTCCTGATAAGATGTATCTTGGAGCAACAAAAGATAGGTCCTGATAAGATGTATCTTGGAGCAAACAATGTATCTTGGAGCAACAAAAGACACTTTCTGATAAGACTTAACAGATAAGATCGATTTATTGATTCGTTTTTTACGGCTTATCAAGAAACTACCAGTTATTTAAAACCATAAAATATATTGAGAATGTATGATTTTTTTAGGTAATAATTATTTAATGATGCGAGTTTTACTAATTAACCCGTAGCTTCGGGGAGAAGCGGTAGATTCATACCTTTCTAAAGGGTATATGCGCGTAAGTGAATATAGCGAACCTAACATGAATTAGAACTTGGCTCTCTGATTAACAATTCCGAAATGTTATCTATTACACCACCCGCACATTCAAACATACGGCACCTGGTATTCCCAAACAGTCACCCATCTAGGTACTGCCCAGGCTCGATGTTGCTTAACTTCAGTGATCGGTAGAGAACGGATGTTTCAACGAGATATGGCCGTAAGCCTACACATAAAGGAGGATTATAATGTAAACCTATTGCCATGTAGAGGAAGCCATTAGATTAATGTAAGATGTGAGCATTCGGAGAAAGATATTGCTGATTTTGATTCTCCCAAAGGAAATAATATTCTGTATTCGATAGCTGTAACCCAACTTGGTACTGATGAGTTTCTACGTTGCTTAACTCCAGTGACCGTACGGAAACTTTTCAACGTGATGTGGCCGTAAGACTGCAGATAAAGTGTTTTTGTTTGTTTGTTTGTTTTACGGCATATCAACCTCAATGGGTTATTTAATGCCGACAACTTTTTTTTTCCTGGTAATATTTTACTTTGTCAAAAATCTATTTCTGGTAATATTTTTTCCCTCAAAAATGTATAATTGGTAATATTATTTCAAAAAATGTATAGCTGATATTTTTTTTTCAAAAACGTATTGCTTTATATTTATTGCATATATAGTTCTTTTCTTCAAAAAATTATTTCTGGTAATAATTTTTACAAAGTATTTCTGGTATTAAAACCTATTTTTACACTTTCATAATGCTTTTTACCTCAGTTTCGGGTTTAACTATTTGCCCATAGCTGGGACCCTAACAGGTGCTACCACCCCGGGTCAGGGTGAACCTTGGAATACCAGCAATTAAGAGATGGTTCCACGCACCTTAATCCTCCTGATCAGAGGCCTTGCTGTTGGACGTAGTTTATCGTCTTACCCCAGACGCGACTGTAGTTTATCGTCATACCTAGGACGGCCTGCAGTTAAAAGATTATAATGTAAATGTATTGCCATGTTAGAGGAAGCCATTAGATTACTGGAAAATGTGAGCATGCACAGAATGATATTGCTGATTTAGATTCCTCTGAAGGAAATAATGGTAGGCGGTTGCTGGATCATCAGATGTCATGGAGCTAAATGAAGAAAATGCTGATAATAATGAAATACCATTTGCAGGCAAAAAACAACTATTGTTTGGTTATTAATGTTGACGCCTTACTTTTTTTTATATTTTGGGTTAACATTATATGCCAACAATATAAAGGTTAATTTGTGCGCGTGTGTGGCTCTGGGGTTATGAGTGAGACCGACAGAAAAAAAACACTTAAGTACACGAGCCCTGGGATAATTACCTGGCCATCTGGAGATGCCAGTCACGGTCGGATACAAGAAAACAGGGATCGGATGACAATTTCACGCTCTTCATGTCGCTGAAGTATCACGCATGCGCTCAGCCATCCATCGCTGTAGATTCACGCGTCCTTCGCATGCAAATTGAGAGGTTTCACGAGAAGGTTTTTCTAGCAATGCATGCCTGCTTCTCATCTCTTTTTCGATTCTTGTCAATTATTTTTTTCTTGCATCTAACCACACGCCTCCATCTAATCAGACTCTGGTGTTTTGTAGCTTGGGATCGCGGAGTTAATGGTAATATTAGCCGTTTTCTTAAATGGAAACATTCGACATTCATTGACTGAACAGCAAGTGCCACTCTCGGTTCAAATTTATAAAGTCTTTGTTAGGTTTCTCAAGTTTAGTAACTGTTAGTGCTCTTTCCGGGTTTGATGTAAGTTTCCTTTTTAACCTTTTTTGTTCGAAGTAGTCTCAGCATCTTGATTATGTCAATATTTTCTCTTCCAGTAACATGCGATATCCATTTGTTGCTATTGTTTTAAAATCGTCAAGTGTCGTGGTCTCTGTTATTTGGAAAAGCTCTTTCTTTGAGATTATATGGCGCTAGTCGACAAGCTTCGAAGAAATTTGGTTCTCAGTAAGACATACAGGCTTCATTCTTTCAAAGCCATTTTAACCATTTATCTAATAAAGTATACAGTTGACAATTTAGATATTTCTGAACGAGTTTGGATCCATGCAATGACATCTATATAAAAAACTCGATCTAGCGAGGCTATTTAAGAATATGACGTTTTTAGGTTAATGCTTCGGTTTTGTAGTAATTTCCAATGTTATACGAAACTACCCCTTCTCCTGACTTTTCTATGTTCAAATTCATTATCCCCTATAATAAATGTGTTCTAACTTATCCATACACCAACGTATTTGATGTGTTTATTAATTATTAATTTCCTATTCTGAATGTGTATGATAGATTCGGAGTATGTGCCAATGGAGTTACTAAATCACCCGTTAAGGTCATTTTTTTTTATTATAAAACCATGTTAAATAAATAAGAAATCCATCCCTTTCTTTAGAAATTGCTTTGTTTACGTTAGGATATGAAATTAAGCAGATATGTCTATTTCGAGAATCAAAGAAAAACTTGTGTTTGAAGGCACGATTCAACTTTGCCTAGACATCGACGAACTTCCTAACCGAAAGGTCTAAAGCACCTCAGATCTGATGAGGCTTTTCAATATGGAAAGGCAGGTTCGAACTCTGCCAGAGAGTCCATATTTTCCTTAATAATATTTCTCGAATATTCAGGCCAGTAGACGAAAATTAATAAATATACTGTTTAATACATAAACCGGGCGTCTACTAAAATAACATGTAAGTTATAAAACCTATAATTTTAATAAATAAAAGAGCCACTTCTTTATTGTTGAGAACTAGAAACAAAGATGAACTTGTCTCATTGTGGGGAATGTAAACTAAAACTAGTTATAAGTGAAACAAGATGTGTGCGAATCCTAACAGGAGATTTGCATTTTTTCCTGATTCGTTTGTATTAGTGCCTTCAGTTACAACAGCTGAGGCTAATAAAGATAATGTTAGAGGTGCAGGGGTCTTTATGGTTTTGCCAAGTCTTGTGGCAAATTTAGAGTGTCTGTAGAGGTTGGTGTTGGCTGACCATTTATTGCATGATCTACTGTTTCAAAGGATTTACGTAGATGACGACGGTTCCACTCGCTATCTGGACTTCATATGAACGTTCATCCAATCAGTGATTTATAACGCCTTTCTCTCACACTTGATCACCTTTCTTGTACGGGCGCTTTCGTACAACATCACCACGGGTAAATCACACGTATGACCTGAACCTTAGCCTGAACCCTTCGCCTGTGTTCTGGTAGAGTCTTATCACTTGGCTCAAGGCTCGCCGTCTTATGGTTTAACAAATTCCTCTTCATGGGGAGAGGAGAAGTGGATGTGTGTGACGATTTAATAGGCGCTGAAAAGGGCCACTTCCTATTCCTTGGTTTGAGGTGTTTCTGACATTAAGCAGTGCGAGAAACTGGTCCGTGTGATGTTTTGGGTTTTTTTTTTTTTGCTTTTGGGGGGGGTCTCATGCACTCTTAACTTCATATTTGGCTTTGTCATTTGGCTGTTGATTTCCGGGACTCGCCATGAGATGTTCAAAATCCCATTTTTCAGAAACGTTCTTCAGGGATGAAAACGTAAACTGGAGTCCTACGTCGGAAATCAATTGACATGAAATCCCGTATCTTGCAAAATATGCCTTCAATTTGCGGATGACAGTTGAGGAAGTAGTGTCCTCAAGTCGATATTTTTCCCAGAAGTTCCAGAAACAGTGGATAGTTAAAAGTTACTCAACACTGTCAAATTCAAATAGGTCAACACCGGCCTTCTGACACGGACGATCAAGTATGGTGTGTCGCGTTAGTGCCTGCTTTTTAACTTGAGCTATCATGGACACGACCATGCGTCCTGCTTCAGTAGTATACAGTGTAACAGTTTCATCAACTTGTAGACGCACCTACCCTGGTAATGATCTTATATCGCCGTTGAAGACATCTACATAGCCCGTTAATAGTTGCTTGCACTCTGGAACTGAATTAACATTAGCGATGTTATCCCAGTGCATAGGTATTCGGTTCATCTGTTCGCTTGCCCGTTTTCTTGACAAAGGGTCCAAACTCCCTTTGACTACAATGAATTACACTGAATACTTTTTCATATTTTTGCGGTTGCGCACACAATTCGACATTTACTGATGAACGCGAGTTCCCTCTCGTCCGACATTGTGAGTTTCGTGATGGACGGTTGCACGTAGGTTTTACCCACATATTTCTGTGGGATTACATCGTTGGTAGCTCCACAGCTCCTTGTATTTCTATCATATTTGCATAGATAATCTTATCTAGCTATGCTCTCTCTCTCTCTCTCTCTCTCTCTCTCTCTATCTCTCTCCCCCCCCCTCTCCCCCCCTCTCTCTCTCCCCTCTCTCTCTCTCTCCCCCTCTCTCTCTCCCCTCTCTCTCTCTCTCTCCCCTCTCTCTCTCCCTCTCTCTCTCCCCCTCTCTCTCTCCCTCTCTCTCTCCCTCTCTCTCCCCCATCTCTCTCTCCCCTCCCCTCTCTCTCTCTCTCCCCCCCCTCCCCCTCTCCCCCCTCTCTCTCTCTCTCCCCCCCTCTCTCTCTCTCTCCCCCCTCTCTCTCTCTCTCCCTCTCTCCCTCCTCTCTCTCTCTCTCTCTCTCCCCCTCTCTCTCTCCCTCTCTCTCTCTCTCCCTCTCTCCCCTCTCTCTCTCTCTCTCTCCTCTCTCTCTCCCTCTCTCTCTCCCCCTCTCTCTCTCTCCCCCCTCTCTCTCTCTCTCTCTCCCCCCTCTCTCTCTCTCTCCCCCCCTCTCTCCTCCTCTCTCTCTCTCTCTCTCCCCCTCTCTCTCTCTCCTCTCTCTCCCCCTCTCTCTCTCTCTCTCTCTCCCCCTCTCTCTCTCTCCCCTCTCTCCCCCCTCTCTCTCTCTCTCTCTCCCCCTCTCTCTCTCCCTCTCTCTCTCTCTCTCTCTCCCCCTCTTTTCTCTTCTCTCTCTTTCCCTCCTCTCTCTCCCTCTCCTCTCTAATGAAAACACAGGACAGTCGTGCAAAACTGGCTCTGTGGCTAAATGGAATAGTACGTCAGGATATATGACGGTTTCGTGTGGTTACAGGTTCGATATATGTCGAGAACACATTTTCGATTTATCCATTAAACAGGCATTTACTAAAATACTTTTTTATCTATAAAAATAATATAAAACTCTCTCTCTCTCTTCTCTCTCTCTCTCTCTCTCTCTATATATATATATATATATATATATATATATAAAA